ATGGGATGTCTTTACTATGGATCAGAAATGGGACATGGGCCCCATGTGGACTGAGGGCCTATGTATCTGGCATGGACCCTGGAACCGCATTTACAATTCAAAAATTCCCACAACGTGTACCATCTCGACCCATAGGACCTTTGGCTATTTAACTCTCCCTCCTTTAAAAACTCCGACTAAATTGGTCCCCAGCCTGACCACTCTCCCGACCATGAGGACAATGCCTCTGAGGGATGAAGATTTCCCTCCCCTCCCCCTACTGTGAAGGCTACTTTCCAGTATTTAAATAACACAAGCGCTGAGATTACCAAAGACTGCTGGCTCTGCCTGGATCCCCAACCACCCCACTATATAGGTTTTGCCCTCACTGCAAAAAGGGAGGAATTAAAAAGTGCCCCATAGACACTGCCTCATGCCCCTGGGAAACTACTTTTACTCTAGGGGATCTGAAGGGGCAGGGGGCTATGCTTCATGTCCAAAGAATATCCTTTGACTACTTCTCCCTACCTCGGGGTTTGTAATCAGTCCTATAGTTTACCCAGGAACACCTGGTCTATAGGAGACACACGATTGCTTGCTGCCCCCCCCCCACTTGGTTTGCTTGCTCCTATGACCTAACCCCTTCTTTGCACCCCCAGTATTTCATGGAGACAGGAATTTTGTGTACTGGTACATGTCATGCCCCAGGTTTATTACTATGGAGGGGATGCTGGAAGACATCTTATGGGTCTCTCTCGGCTCCATTTTAGTTCCCCTCCTTGTGGGAACAGCGATAGCAGGGTCTGCTGCCATCGGAACAGCAGCCCGGGTCACCAGTAATCGAAACTTGAGAATCTTGAGTGGAAAGGTTGATAAAGATATTAGGAGATTACATGCCACTGCCTCCTACTTAGAACAACAGGTAGACTCACTAGCTGAAGTAGTCTTACAAAACAGAAGGGGGCCTCGATTTGCTTTTTCTCAAGGAAGGCAGACTCTGCATGGCTCTGGGAGAAACATGTTATTTTTATACCAACCACTCGGGTGTGATTAAAGACACCCTGGCCCAGATCAAAAAGTCTTTTAAAATAAGAAGAGCTCAGAAAGAGTTTCCAAAACTGGTTTGAGTCCCTATTCTCCTAGTCACCTTGGCTTACCACTCTTATCACTGCTCTGGCCAGACCCCTCTTAATCCTTATAGCACTGCTAACCTTTGGACCCTGTATCTTTAATGCTCTAGTCAAATCTGTTAAACAAAGGTCTCCAATGTACAACTGATGGTTATGAGGGCCTATTACAATCCCCTAGACAACAATTATGAATCAATGGTTTGATTCAAGAAAATTTCCAAAACAAAAGGGGGAATGAAGGAGAGTGCCCTTCAGACCCCCTCCCTGTCTTCTGTTTTTTTTTTCAGACCCCCTCCCTGTCTTCTGAGAAAGAGCTGCCCTCTGCCTGACTCTGGAAATCCCCTAGATTGTTCAAACCCTTTCCTGATACATCTGGTTATGGATTCTATGGAACTGGTCCAGGGCAGAAGAGGAAGAACGTCCTGTCCCAGGTAAGCTAGCCAATGGCTGTATAGGTTAAGGCTCTGGAAATCAGCCCTAGATTGTTTGAACCCTTCCCTGGTACATCTGTTTATGGTTTTTTATAGAAATCCCCTGCTCTGCAGTTTTTGTACTTAAAAGCCCTGCGGTTCCACACCTCTGGGTGGCAGTGCAGCTCCTGAGCCTGCCTGCGTCCCCGGCTGGTCAGTCTCAATAAAGCAGTTAAGATCTCCTTAGTGAGTCTCAGTGTCCGAGTGGTCAATTTAGGGAATTATTTTGACCCCAAACAAAACTAAATCTGTTACTAGAGCCAGAGGAGTGAAGCATGGAGCTGTCTTCCACGTCCTTCAACAGAACCTTTCAGCTACCGGCCTGGATGAAAATCACATGGGAAATTTGTCTATTCCCATGGCATGTACGTGAATCCCTAAGAATCTGGATTGTACTCACAAGGGAGAGGCAAGGGTCTGCACAGGGGTAACTAAATTCACACCCCAAACTCCATTCTCCAAGAGAAAAGAGCATTGTCTCTTGGCAAGTCTTTGAGACAGGCCCATTCCTCATCTTCCTCCAGAAAAGGGAAACTCGTCAAAGCAGCTAATGTTGAAGACTACAAATGAACATATGCTAGAAAATTATTATTAAAAAGAATGACAAGGAATTTTCTCTTTTTCCCCCCATTATAAAACACATTGGGAGTGGGCTGGGAATATGGGCTCAACAGTACAGTGCTTACCAAGCATATGCAAGGCTCTTGTTTAAATGCCTTGCACTGTAATAAAGAAAGAAAAGAAACAACAAAAGAACAGGTAGACATGGAAGGCTGTTGGGAAGTATAAGGGAAAGAAAAAGTTACTCATTTTCATTTAAGAGGGCCAAACATTATCTCTATTTACCACAAAAGAAGATTTAAGACAACTATAGAATTGATCCTCATTTAGAGGGCACGGCAGCTGACTGTCAGCTGGGCGTGGTGGTGCACAGCTTTAATCCCAGCACTTGGTAGGCAGAGGCAGGTGGATCTATGTGAGCTCGAGGCCAGCCTGGTCTACATAGCCAGTTCCAGGCCACCTGGGGCTACAAGGAGACTCTCAAAAATGACAAAAAATAAAATAAAATAATCACAGGGGGCTGAAGAGACGGCTCAGTGTCTAAGAGCAATTACTGGTTGCTCTTGCATTGGACTCAGATCTGGTTCCTAGCACACACATGGTGGCTAAGAACCTTCCATAACTCCAGTTCCAGGGGATCCTACACCTTGTTCTGGCCTTCACGGGCATTGCACACCATGGGTGCATTTACATAAATGCAGGCAAAACACTCATACACACAAAATGATAGCAGCAGTAACAAAAATGCAGAACCGCCAACTAGTATTTTAGGAGAACCTGAAAATGTAAATTTTAGGTGAATTCTTCCAATATTTAAAAGATGGCAACTACAAGACATAGTGGTTCATACCTGTAATACCAGTATTTGAAAGGTGAAATTATGAGAATCTTAAGTATAAGGTCATCATTCATATATACAATACATATATACATACATAATACATACATACATGAGTTTGTGGCCATCCTGAACTACATGGGGCCCTATCTCAAATAATCAAACAAAAAAGTAGCAATTATTTCAGTTTTTGCGATACCCTGAAGACAGTATGAAAAGAAGCCTACAGGGGGCTCGTGAGATGGCTCAGCAGTTAAGAACATTGGTGTGTTCTTGCATAAGACCCAGGTTCAAATCCCAGCACCCACAAGGCAGCTAACGACTGTCCTTAACTCCAGTCCCAGGGGATCAGACAGCCTCTTCTGACCTCGGCGGGCACTGCACAACACGGGTGCACTTACCTACATGCAAGCAATATATGCATACACATAAAATAAATAAACATATATATTTTTTTTTCTTAATTAAAAAAGGCAGACCCGGTTACGCACATTTATAACCTAAGCACCAGAGAGGCAGAGAGGCCAGCCAGTCTGACTGCAGGGTGAGACTCAGGTCCCAATGTGAGAGATCCTGTCTCTAAAAATAACACGGACAGCGATGGAACACAAACTTTGACCCCTGTTCTCCACAAGCACATGCAATACATGTGCCCATACACATATATACAAACACAGAAACTGAGAGAAATATCAACAGCAAGCTGTAAAATGCTAATTCTGAGTGCTAGGTACATTGCAAACAGCTACAATTTAGACTGTTCCCCCTCTAAAATTCAGATATTGAAACTTCATGGCCAATGAAGTAAGATGAGAAGGAGCTATTTAAGAGGCGATTAGGCCACAAGAGCTTCTCCCTCCTGAATGGAATTATGGCTCTTAACAAAAGACTATATACAGAGCCTGGCCTGAGGCACATGCCTTTAATTCCAGCACTCAGGAGGCAGAGGCAGGTCTACATTCAGGAGGCAGAGGCCAGCCTGGTCTATAGAGGAAAGTTTCAGGCCACCTGGAGATACAGGGAGACCCTGTCTCAGAAAGATAAAAAAAAAAAAAAAAATCTACACGGTGTTTAGCTAGCTTGCCCCTCCACCCTTCCACCTTCTACTATGGGAGGACACAGTGCTCCTCCCTTAGAGAAGATGAAGCAATAAGGCATCATCATGTAAGCAGAGATCAGATCTCACCTGACAACAGAAACTGCCAGTGCCTTACCTTGGACTTCCTTGCTTCCAAGATGAATTCTTTGATTCTTAATTGCATGCCTGTGTGTATTGTCAGCGCACATGAGTGCATGTGCCAGTGGAGGCCAGAAGGGGGAGTCAGATTCCCTATACCTTAGTTACAGGTGGTTGTGAGCTGCCCAATGTGGGTGGTGAGAACCAAATTTGGGTCCTCTGCAAAAGCAGCTGAACTATCTCTACAGCCCCATTCCTATTCTTTATAAATTGTCTGGAGTGATCTGCTTTTATAGCAGCATAAATGGACCAAGACAGTATTTACTAATTTCTTTCTTTTTCTGTATAACCAAATTATTTCCTGATTAATTTCGTGTGATTAAAGGTTAATTACTATTTTTATTTTTCAAATTTCAAAATAAAAGAGAAAGTTCCTTTAGGAAGACTGGATCCCCATGTGACTTCTAATATGTCAAACAGTATTCCTGTTTAACCCAGCCAGAGAAACCACTGCTTTTCTTGTGACTATTCCTGCACCTCGTTTTTTCTCTTTTCCCTCAGTCTCTCCATCTCTGGAGAAATTTTAAAAGGCCAGGCATGGTGATGCTTGCCTTTAGTCCCAACAGTAAGGAGGCAAGAGTCAGGCAGGTCTCTGTGAGTTTGAGGCCAGCCTGGTCTACATAGCAAACTCCAGGAAAGCCAGGGCAGCAGAGTGAAACCCAGTCTGTGTCTGTCTGCCTGCCCGCCTGCCTCTATCTGTATCTCTGTCTCTCTTTTATACCTCTCTCTCTCTGTCTCTCTCTCTCTCCAACATAAAAAGAAAGCAGTGCAATGTGAAACATTACCTACGGCTCAACTCAGGTTTGAGAGCTTCAGAGCCTTCAGAAGGTGCTCCAGCAATCAGGTGAGTTGCAAATCTCTGCACTGTGGGGTGGTAATGTCTCTGAAGAGGAAAAGATACAAGCACAATTACTCAGGTCAGTACTTCAGAAAACACAAGCCATAGCATAACTTTTTTTTTAATTACACCAGCCAAAAACAGAAAGCAAAGCATATTATATGTATGCAATTCATTTCAGCCACAGGAATAAAATACAAATCTGTCTGATAATCAAGTTAATAGTATAAAAAAATAGATCAAAAAATAATTTCGCCAGGCATGGTGGCACATGCCTTTAATCCCAGCACTCGGGAGGCAGAGACAGGTGGCTCTGTGAGTTCCAGCCCAGTCAGGGCTATATAGTGAGACCCTGTCTCAAACAACAAAAAAGGCATTCCAAGGGCTAGAAAGATGGTTCAGCTGTTAAGAGCACTGACTCTTGGAGAGGACCTGCGTTCAATTCCCAGCACCAATATGGCAGCCAACTACAGACCATAACTCCAGTTCTAGGGAATCTAATGCCCTCTTCCACGGGTACACATGCAGGCAAAACACTCATACACACAAAATAAACTTTGGGGCTGGAGAGATGGCTTAGCAAGCACTAGCTGCTCTTGCAGAGGACCTGGGTTCAAGTCCCAGCACCCCTATGGCAGTTAACAACCATTCCTAACTCCAGTTCCTGGGGAATCCAATGCCTTCTTCTGACCTCTATGGGCAATGCCCAACATGGGTGCACTTACACACATGCAGGCAATACACATACACATAAAAAAGGAAATTTAAAAAAATAATACATAAAATATTTTTTAAAATTTTTTTAAAAAAGATGTTCCAGCCAGGTGTGGTGGCACATGCCTTTAATACCAGCACTCAGGAGGCAGAGACAGGCAGATCCTCTGTGAGTTCAAGGCCAGCCTGGTCTACAGAGTGAGTTCCAGGCAGCTGGAGCTACAGGGAGACCATCTCAAAAAGACAAAAAAAAAAAACGGCGTTCCAGAACAAAATATATTAAGAACTCTGGCAACAAAACTGTGAGGAAAGGGTACAAAATACTGCCCATTCGAAAAGAGAGGAGGGGAGGGAAGAAAAGGGGAAGGAGAGGAGAGAGCAGGAAGAGGGAGGGGAGAGGAAAAGAAAAAGGGCCTCTTACCCGTAGTGCATGCAACTCCCAGAGAGCAGTGTTCTGTGCGTTGCAGTACTCAGGTTCGTCGAGTTCAGGGAGAAAAACTCCACTTCCCTGAGACTCATTATCAAGCAACAGATCTGTTTTTGGAAAAGTCTGCCAAAATGTCACATAAAAAGAAAGAATTAAGTTAAAGAATGCTATTGCCTATACTTGTATCTAAATTTGTGGTTATAGAAAGGGCTACAAATTTAACAACTTTATATACCTAGTTTAATAAGAAATAATTTAAATTTACAGCATAAAAGAAAAACATATAGAAGAATGTCTTGTTTGGAAAACTATTATATCTTGCAAAAGAAAACAAGACATTCTTCCTACCATCCAATCTCACTTTTACTAATCTTTCTTACAGAAATATTTACAGTTAACACATATTAACTGAACACATTAACACTCATTACAACATCATGCATAACAGCAACCTCTATATCCATTAAGAGAAAAAAGTATAAAAAGCCACAGTACATGAATTTGAATCCCACTTCTACTTTCTTACTTTCTTTTTTTAGTTCTTTTGAGACAGGGTCTCCCTGAAGCCCCAGCTGTCCTGGAACTCACTATGTAGACCAGGCTGGCCTTGAACTCACAGAGATCTGCCTGCCTCTGTCTCCCGAGTGCTGGGATTAAAAGCATTCGCCACCATGCCCAGCCCCACTTCCACTTTCAACAACAGCCTATGGAGTAACTATGGTGGGTGGCAGATTGGATAGGCAGCAGCACCTCCACAGCCCTCCTTCTACCACTCAGTAGCAATGCCACTTTACGGAACTGACTATACATCTCTGGACCTGCTTCCCCATCTATAAAATGGAAATACTAGGCCAGTGTAGAGATACAGGCCTTTAACCCCAGCAGATCTCTGTAAGTTCAAGGCCAGCCTGGTCTACATAGTGAGTTCCAGGCCAGCTGAAGCTACAGGGAGACACTAGCTCAGAAAGCCCCCCCAAAAAAAAAAGAAATAGTAGGAGTACCTATAGCTACCTCAGTTACAAAGATTAAGTAATTTAATGTTTGTACAGCACTTACAACAATGGCAACTGAACGGTAAGAGCTGTGGGTTTACAAAACAAAGAACTAAACAAACAGTAATCATTAAAATAGTAAAGCAGGCTGAGTGTGGTAGGTACACCTCTAATCCAGCACTTGGAGGGAAAGGTTAGCAAGTTCCAGGCCAGTTAGGACTAAAGGGAGAACAGTAAAAATAGCCACCAGGTGGTAAAATGGCTACTTCCAGCAAATATCAATACATTGCTTTGATTTTATAGTTTTATATACTTTTTTATCACCTGGTTTGTTACAAGTGTGAATTACTTTTTTAAAGAAATGGGATCTCACTATGCTGCTCAGGCTGACCTGAAACTCCTAGACTCAAGCAATTCTCCTGCCTCAATGTCCTGTATAATTACAGGCATGCACCACTGCACCTAGCTATGAATTACTTTCATAATAAGTATGTCAATATTTGCTGGGCGTGCCTTTAATTCCAGCACGCCTTTAATTCCAGCGCTCTGGAGGCAGAGGCAGGCAGAGCTCTGTGAGATCAAGGCCAGCCTGATCTACATAGCAAATTCCAGGCCAGCTGGGGCTACAGGGAGACCCTCTCTCAAAAAGACCAGAAGAAAAAATAATGTTAATATTCAAGAGGAAAAACACGTACATTAAAAAAGCAAAGTTTCCTACATTATGAGAACTTGATTGTATTTATTTATACCACTACTTACATGCATTAATACCCTGGTGGTTGCTAAAATGCCAATGCTTGAATTTGGAAGAACCTGCAGGGCAAGTGTACAAAGGCGCTTGATGAAGGCCAGGGCTCGCTGATGAGAAACCTGCTTTCTGCGCTTGGTTAGCATGACATCAAGGCACTGGAGCACGATCTCAACACCCTCATTGGTGGCACCTGAAACAAGACACATCCTTCAGGGCCATTCTCATCACTGCTTCATTATGAAACTTCCCTGAACTCCAGGAAACCATCAACTTGAACTGTCATTCTGCCGCAAACCATTTGCCTGGCCAATGTAGTAAGGTTCATTTGGGTTTGCTGTGGACTCTATTTACTGCATTTCTACTAGTCAATTCCCAAAGTTCTTTCTCCCCAAGCCTGACACAAGGTTAAATACAGGTGCATAGCAATGGTATGCCAGGATTTTATGCACCACACCCTATTTCTCATAGGCTATAATTATGATCATAACATATTCTGAGGCTATAAATATCTATTAAGGAAGCACCTTCTAAACACACATACCTGCATGTAATTTGAATAGTGTTTTGTAGAGATGTGTATAGAATTTCATTGGATCGATATTTAGAACATCACCTGCGTTTGACAACAAACACAAATTAGGTTAGGTTACAGACTTCAAAGCCCAAATAAACAAAACCTAAGACAGTTCCTCACCTTGTCCAGAAAGAATATGAAAAGCAGTCTGAACACAGTGAAGATTTTCTTGATAGCTTAAGTCCTTTAAAAAAATAAACAAATAAATGAGAAATAATAATTGCCTTTCGTATCTTTAAAAAGTAATTCATTTATAGTTACTTACACCAGACTCAATGAGGGTATGAAGAACTACTAATAAGTCATCAAAAAACTCCACATTTATAAGATGAGCAAATCTAAAATCAAATAAAACTTAGTTACTAGATAATCCAAACACAGAAATAAAGCAAGTAAAAAGAACTTAACTTTAAAAGTGCATTTTTGGAGCCTGGAATGGTGGCACATGCCTTTAATCCCAACAAAGGGAGGCAGAGGCAGGTAGATCTTTGAGTTCAAGGCCAGCCTGCTCTACAAAGTGAGTTCCAGGACAGCTGGGGCTACAGGAAGACCCTGACTCAAAAAGACCAAAAAAAAAAATAATAAATAAATAAATTAATTAATTAAAATAAAAAATAAAGTATATTTTTAATATTGCTTATTTCAAAGCATTGGTTATAATGTGGGAAAAAAAAGATCATTGATATTTTTAACTGAAATGGACTTTTTCATCAATTCACACACTGCTGGACATTATACCTGGGAAAAATATGTGAGGCAACAGATTTAAAAAATATATTACACATACTTCTGTCCTGAGAAATAAGTTCCTAAGAGCAAAAAACTTCTCTGAGAGGAACTGAGTAGGTTACTATCAGTACTCAAAGCCATAAAGGAGGCAACAGAAACAAGCTGCTAGGAAAACGGCAAAGGAAGACTCTGCTATTTATAAGAATGTGAACTCCAGGGTGGGAGTTGTGGCTTGGTGGTGCACATTCAAGGTCCCAGGTTCAGCACCCAAACTGAGACTAGCACACTATGAGAGCTTTAAAAATAAAATGGAAAGGCTGGGCATGGTGTGCAGGCCTTTAATCCCAGCGCTCAGGAGGCAGAGGCAGGTGGATCTCTGTGTGTTCAAGGCGAGCCTGGTTCACTTAGTGAGTTCTAGGACAGCTGGGGCTACAGGGAGACCCTGTCTCAAAAAGACCAAAAAATAAATAAATAAAAAATAAAATGGAAAGCTGGAGAGAGGGCTCGGTGGGAACACTGGCTGATGGGCTACAGAGAGGGTTGCAGAGGACCTGGGTTTGCTTTCCAGCATTCACACGGTGGCTAACAACTATCTGTAACTCAGTTTCAGGGGATCCACTGCCCTCTTCTGGCCTCCACGGGCATTGCATGCATGTGGTACAATTACAAACATGCAGAAGCAGGACTCACACACAGTAAGAAAATAATAAATTCCAAAAATTGCAGCAGTTTTTAAATATGTATTAAGAAAAAAAATTATGCCAAATACCTTGTTCAAGCTTAATGTTACAATTATATTTTAAATAAACCAAATTTTAAAACACATTAAAATTAATTTCCACTATCTTTTTACATAAAATGTGGCTACCAGAAAGTACAAAACTGCATCTGTAGTACACATTGTATTTGTATTAGAAAGTAATAAGAACAGGATACTACCTCAAATTCAGGTGTGGAAAACTACCATTAGGGCCATTACTTTTAGCTCACATTCCCTAGGCCATTAGTGTTACAGCATACACAAAAGGTCTACTTTAGCACGCAGAGATTACAGAGAACCAGAGAAATGATCTGCAAGCTCGGTTAAAATAGACTTAAGGTTCACATGACCACAAAGTATAAAAAAGAATCAAAAACTGAGAGATAAATCTTCCCAACACCAAAAATATAATAATAAGCAGAAGAAGAGTTAAAAGGCTTTTTTTTTCAAATTAAAGATTTGAAGTGAGAAAGCCGAACAAGCCCCCTCTTAGAACTATGTCAAGGAAAGGCTGTGAGTAAAGGAAGGAGGACTGAGAACTGCTATCAGGACATCAGCAGGGACTCTCTCTAATCTGCATAGCTATTTTGGCCAAATGTGCTTACAAAGACTCTAAAAGGTTTCAACCTACACAGCCCTTACTTGGCAAGACCTTCTAGAACCGCTGGCAGAAGAGGTGACCTCTGGGCCTTCTTCAATATTCTGAAGTAGGTTACAAACACAATATTCAGAGTCTCTGTGTGCTGGCAGAGGAGAAAGACAAAAACATTTTATTGGAGTTAGTATAATTATCACTTTCAAAGTTAAAGCTTCTTTTTCCTCTCTCGTCCCTCCCATGACTCAATCTTTAGAATAAAACAGAATGAATACACACATCTTGTGAGTTCATAAACTGGAATGCATTGTGCTGTATTTCCTTACACATTACAAAAATTAGCTACTTACGTCTCATGAAGTAAACCAAAATTATATACCTCCAATTGAAACAATAAGCTTCTGATTAAAATCATTTAATAAAAGATCTGAAAGTGTAACAGAATGTGCAAAGCTGCCTACCAGTTTAAGTTTCTTCTCGGTACTCTCGGAGGCCTCTGCCTCCCGGAGTTCTCGCTCTAGTTTCTCTTCTGCTTTCTTCCACTGGGGGAAAAGAGTAAATACCAATGTGTGAAAACATGAAGCAGAATATCAGCATTATAAAGCACAGACAATAAGACCACATGTTGACTATGAATGGAAATATAGGCAAAGCTAGAAAAGGATGAGTGAGCTATGGAAACACTGAATTACTTTCTTCTGGCTGCCCCAGAAGAAAGGCAGAACGAAATTGGAGAGGGACAAAGAGGACTCCTACTCTATGATGGTTTCTTTCCTTTTGAGAAAAACGTTGAGTAAACCTGTTAATATCTGCTTATTCTGAATGGCAGACACATAGACTATAACGTACATATACATAAAATAATTGTTTTACCTAAGAAACTGTCAAAATAAAGAGCATGCTGAGCCCAAAAGTAAGCGCTGGTGGTAAAAAACTTATAATGAGGCTGGAGAGATGGCTCAGCAGTTAAGAGCACTTGGTGCTCTTGCAAAGGACCATTGTTCAGTTCCCAGCAACCATAACAGGTGGCTCACAACCACCTCTAACTCCACTTCCAGGGGTTTTGATACCCTCTCTGGCCTCCACGGGTACCTGCACACATGCACACATACCCATACACAGACACATACACATATATATAAATTTAAAAAAATCATAACTGATAATATAGAAGCCCATAATTAATAATTTCCAAACATATTTACATATAGTATGCTTTTTCTGTTTTTTTTCTCTTTCTTTCTTTCTTGGGGTTTTTTGAGACAGGGTCTCCCTGTAGCCCCAGCTGGCCTGAAGCTCACCATGTAGAGCAGGCATGTGCAACCACACCCTGCTCATATTTACATATAGTATGTAAATCCAGATACTACAAAAAAACATTAAACATTCATTTTTCCTCACTTCCTAATGTTGGAAGAACATCAAAAATGGTTCCTAAGCTGTCTAAGGTACAACAGGTGGACAAAAGAAGCTTCTTTCTTTGGAGAATTTTGTTAAATTTTTTTTTTTCAAACTCAAGAATTTATTCTCTTGAGTAAACTTTTTATTTTTTTTTCCCCAGAAGAAGCATTTCATTACAGCTTTAACATAATAACAGTTTCCAGGGCAAAGATATATCTCTTTCAAAAGTGGCTATAAAATTTTTAGGTTCGCTGTTGAATTAATACAGTTATACAATATTGAACTCAGTATAAGCCCCATAAGACATAAAACTAAATGAGTTTTTAACCTTTAAAAAAGATCTCCATTTCATTTTAAAATATACTGTTTCTTACAGAAAGACTCATTGTTTTTTCTAATAACACTGAGATGTTGGTGCATGCATCTCTAATCCATATGTATCTGATTATTACTAGATAATAATCAGTTGTACTCGGATCCTTGACACCTGTTA